TAAGAAATCAATAACAAGAGGACATACTACTTAAATAGGTAGTTAATTTACCGCTTCAGTACGGAACCCTGCGCCGTCACCTAAAACATCGAAACTTTCTTTTTCGATCGGCCTAAGAGACCCATAACTGCCTCCTGTGCTCTCTCGAAAGACTCCTTCACAGCAAGCGGTCGTTTTTTTACTTCTAGGGGATTAATTTAATTTCCCCCGCCCCAGCCCTTGCCCCGCTACAGTTACATGGCATAAAATGCCCAGCAGATATGAGAATCGCGCAGACGCACCTTTGCCGGAACTTCAAATCCTGGTCCAGACTCTTCCCGTTGCATGCTGCTCGCAACCGAAACCCCGGGAGCGAAGATTGTGTTGCCAGAGGATGATGAGCACTGACATGAACCGTCGTGAGCGGCATCGGTCAGTCGAGAATCCGGAATGGTTGTCGCCGGTGTTGATGCATTTTGCACTGATAGTGTGGATTGAATGAGGTTTTTGTGCGTCTCCAGGGCCTTCTGCATTTCCTTTTGCATCACACTCGATACCTCCTCCTTAATCAGCTTCACAATCTGAATTACGGGTGGAAGAGTTAAGAAGGAAAGCAGTGGCTTTCTCTCTCAGGTAAAAAGACATGCATACATTGATCGCTTCGGTAAGGGGTTAGCCCTCAGAGCATGCAAGAGACATCGAGGAAAAGAGGAGAGCATTTTGGGAGTTGTGCGAAACTTACATTCTATCCTAAAATATGTGAGTAAAAAAGTGCAAAAGTTTTGCCCGCAGAAAGGTAAGGAAAAGGGCAGAGCAGAACGTGGCCAATGGAAAAGCTCCAAGGGATAGGGACAATTCAACCGTCGAGTTCAACGATATCCATCGCGTTTTTCAACAAGCTGAAGGTACTCGCGGTGACTTCCGCATATATTCGTTTTGTGTGATAGTACACTTGCGCCGCATCTACCGCACACCACCTTTCATCACCCAGTTGTGCCCGGTGTCAAGACAAAGCCAAGAAGATCGGAAGAGCGTCGTGTAGGGAAAGAGTGTAGATCT